TGCTGCTGCTGCTGCGACGATGGGGAAGGAAAAGACGCACATAAACCTGGTGGTGATCGGCCACGTGGACAGCGGGAAAAGCACCACCACGGGCCACCTGATCTACAAACTCGGCGGCATCGACAAAAGGACCATCGAAAAGTTCGAAAAAGAGTCTTCCGAAATGGGCAAGGCCTCCTTCAAGTACGCCTGGGTCCTCGACAAGCTCAAGGCCGAGCGCGAGCGCGGCATCACCATCGACATCGCTCTCTGGCAGTTCGAGACTCCCGCCTTCCACTACACCGTCATTGACGCGCCGGGCCACCGCGACTTCATCAAAAACATGATTACCGGCACGTCTCAGGCGGACGTCGCGTTGCTCGTCGTGCCTGCGGACCAGGGCGGCTTCGAGGGCGCCTTCTCCAAGGAAGGTCTGCCCCCGCTGTTTTGCTGCTGCTGTGCTTCTGTTGTGCTCCTGTTTTGCTGCTGCTGTGCTGCTGTTTCGCTGCTGCTGTGCTGCTGTTTTGCTGCTGCTGTGCTGCTGTTTTGCTGCTGCTGTGCTCCTGTTTTGCTGCGGTTTCGCTGCTGTTTTGCTGCTACTGTGCTGCTGTTTCGCTGCTGCTGTGCTGCGGTTTTGCTGCGGTTTCGCTGCTGTTTCGCTGCTGCTGTGGTGCTGTTTTGCTGCGGATTCGCTGCTGTTTCGCTGCTGTTGTTTTGGTGCTGCTGCTGTTTCGGCGCTGCTGTTTGGCTGGTGGTGTGGTGTTTCGCGTTGGAAGGGGAGCGAATGCGGCGCGGGGCTGGGCCTGCAGGGCAGACGCGGGAACACGCGCTGCTGGCGTTCACGCTGGGCGTGAAGCAGATGATCGTGGGGATAAACAAAATGGACGCGACTTCGCCGGAGAAGTACAGCGAGGCGCGGTTCAACGAAATCCAAGCCGAAGTGTCGCGGTACCTGAAGACAGTGGGCTACAACCCGGAGAAAGTGCCGTTCGTGCCGATCTCAGGCTTCGTGGGCGACAACATGGTGGAGCGCAGCAGCAACATGGGCTGGTACAAGGGCAAAACGCTGGTGGAGGCTTTGGACAGCGTGGAGCCCCCGAAGCGCCCCGTGGACAAGCCGCTGCGGCTGCCGCTGCAGGACGTGTACAAGATCGGCGGGATCGGCACGGTCCCCGTGGGGCGCGTGGAGACGGGCGTGCTGAAGCCAGGCATGGTGGTGACCTTCGCGCCCTCGGGGCTGCAGACGGAGGTCAAGTCCGTGGAGATGCACCACGCGCAGCTGGAGCAGGCCGTCCCCGGAGACAACGTGGGCTTCAACGTGAAAAACGTCTCCGTCAAGGACGTCAAGCGCGGCCACGTCGCCTCCGACTCCAAGAACGACCCCGCCAAGGCCGCCGCCAGCTTCCAGGCCCAGGTCATCGTCCTGCACCACCCCGGCCAGATCAACCCCGGCTACACGCCCGTCCTCGACTGCCACACTGCGCACATCAGTTGCAAGTTCGCCGACCTCGAGAAGCGCCTCGACCGCCGCAGCGGCAAGGCTCTCGAGGACTCTCCCAAGTCCATCAAGAGCGGCGACGCCGCCATCGTCAGGATGGAGCCCAGCAAGCCCATGTGCGTCGAGGCTTTCATCGAGTACCCGCCGCTCGGCCGCTTCGCCGTCCGCGACATGAAGCAGACCATTGCCGTCGGCGTCATCAAGGCCGTCGAGAAGAAGGAGGCTGGCGGCAAGGTCACCAAGAGTGCGCAGAAGGCCGCCGCCAAGAAGTGACCTTGTCTGTGGCTTGCGCTTGCTGCTGCTGCGCTTGCTGCTGCTGCGCTTGCGGTTGCTGCGCGGGCGGGGCGCGGCCCCAGACGCTGTTTTAGGGTTTTAAGTGCTCCGGTGCGCACGGGCGCGCGGCGCGGCGCCGCCGCGCTGCTGCGCGTAGAACACTTCTAGGGTTTAGGCCGGCTAGGCTTTAGGGGCGCTACGGTTTAGCCGTTACGCTTAGGGGTTCCCGGGGGGCCCTCCCCCGCGCGCCGCTGCCACAAGCTGCCGGCTGCAGCAGCTGCGGGCAGTCGCGCGGCGCAGCAGCAGCAACTGCGATGCTGCAGCAGCAACTGCGACGCTGCAGCAACAACTGCGACGCTGCAGCAACAACTGCAACGTTGCAGCAACACTGCAACGCTGCAGCAACAGCTGCAGAGGCAGAAACGCTGCGGCAGCAACGGTGGCAACGCTGCAGCAACGATTACAGCGCCGCCGCTGCAGCAACGCCAGCAGCAACGCTGGGGCATCTACAACACCAACGCTGCACCAATAACTGCAGCGCCAACGCTGCTGCACCAATAACATCAGCGCCGACGCTGCACCGACAACTGCAGCGCCAATGCTGCACCAACTACAACGGAAACGATGCACCAGCTACAACGGCAACGCTGCAGCAACAGCAGCGATGCAGCAACAGCAACGCTGCAGCAACAACGGCAACGGAGACGCTGCAGCGACAACAGCAACAGCAACGCTGCAGCAACAACAGCAATAGCAACGCTGCAGCAACAACAGCAACAGCAACGCTGCAGCAACAACAGGCAACGCTGCGGAAACAACAGCAACGGCAACGCTGCAGCAACAACAGCTACTGCAACGCTGCAGCAACAACAGCTACTGCAACGCTGCAGCAACAGGAACGGCAGCGCTGCAGCAACAATAGCAACAGCAACGCTGCAGCAGCAACAGCAACGCTGCAGCAACAACAGCAACGCTGCAGCAACAACAGCAACAGCAACGCTGCAGCAACAACAGCAACGGCAACGCTGCAGCAACAACAGCAACAGCAACGCTGCAGCAACAACAGCAACAGCAACGCTGCAGCAACAACAGCAACAGCATCGCTGCAGCAACAACAGCAACAGCAACGCTGCAGCAACAACAGCAACAGCAACGCTGCAGCAACAATACAGCACAAATGCAGCAGAACTGGTGCGTTAGCAATGTTTGAGGTGTATGAACACCGCGGATAGGCGCTGCTGAGGGCGGCGTGGCCGACCGACTGGGGCCCCACAGCTGCAGCAGCCGAAGCGCCACGCAGGCAGGGTTTAGGGTTTAGGGTTTAGGGTTTGGGGTCTGCGGGTTTTTTGCGATGCGGAAATGACCCTTTTGTCTCCACCGGGACTCTGGGCACCCCCAGCGGGATCTCCAGGGGGGCCCCCAGGGGGGCCCCCGGCGGGGGGCCCCCCCTTTCAAACAAGTGACCCTGAAGAACCCCTTGTGCTGCTGCTGCAGCCGGAGAGCCAAAGGGGCGCAGCAGCAGCAAGGTTTCCCTGCACTCCAGACGCAACCCAGCTCTCGCAGCAGCAGCTGCTGCTGCTGAGGCACCAGCCGCAGCAGCAGCAGCAGCAGCAGCAGAGCTCGCAGCTCTCGGAGACTGAGGAACACTGCATGCGCAGAAGAGGCTCCCTATTCTCCGCTGCCAGCCAGGACGCTTTCGCCGCTGCTGCTGCTGCTGCCGAGCAGCAACAGCAGCAGCAGCAGCACCACCACCACCACCACCACCGGCAGCAGCTGCTGCCTTTGTGGGATAAACTCTGTGAGGACTCCCAGGCCTACTCCCAGCAGCAGCAGCAGCAGGAGATTGTTTGGGCCGTTGAAAGGGCTTTTGCTGCAGAAGAAACAGGACCTGACTTCGCTGCAGCAGACCCAGCAGAAGCAGCAGCAGCAGCTGCTGCTGCTGCTGATGAAACCCCGCAAGGCGCTAAGAGCCGCAACGGCCCCACAGACATAGCAGAAACTTCAGCAACAGCAGCAAAGCCACCAGCAGCAGCAGCAACCGTCGCAGCACCAACAGTCGCAGCAGCTGCAGCAGCAGCAGCAGCAGCAGCTGCTGCTGCTGCTGCAGATGAATCCGACTGTGACTCGCAAGCCACAGTTGTACTTGGAAGCAACTCGCAGGAGCTGCTGCCGGGTGTACATACACCTCGCGCCCAGGCCTCTACTGCAGCAACAGCAGCAGCAGCAGCTGCTGCTGCTGCTGCTGCTGCTGCAGGAGCAACTGCAGCGGCAGCAGCAGCAGCAGAGCAGGACGATGTAGCAGCAGCAGCAGATCTCCCCGTGACACCCGTAGCTGCGCCAATCAATTCAGAAGCTGCCGCAACAGCAGCACCAACAGCAACAGCAGAAGCAGCAGCAACAGCAGCAGCAAATGCAGCAGCAGAAACGGCAGCAGCGTCCGTGAACCTGCTGTCGCCTCCAGCAGCACCAGCAGCAGCCCCTGCAAAGGCAGCAGCTGCTGCGAACGCAGCAGCAGCAGCAGCAGCACATTCGGCGGGTCCTTGGGCGCCAAAGGATGCAGCAGCAGAAACAACTGCAGCAGCTGCAGCAGCTGCTGCTGCTGCTGCAGCCTCAACTGCTGCTGCTGCTGCAAGAGAAACCCAAGCGCAAGCACCGCGCGCACCCCCACCGCAGGAACCGCTGCCGCAGTCGCAGCTGCAGCAGCAGCAGCCGCACCAGCAGCCGCAACAGCAGCAGCAGCAGCAGCAACAGCAACAGCAGCTGCAGCAGCTGCAGCAGCTGCAGCAGCAGCAGCTGCAGCAGCTAGGAGGTCTGTCTCCTTTAGGGCTGAGTGTGGCTGATTGGGACGACCTGGAAGAGGCCCTCGAGTTTGCCTTATCCCAGGCCAAGGAAGAGAGCCAAGCTGTGGGGGCCCCTGCCTCTGCTGCTGCTGCTGCTGCTGCTGCTGCTACTGCTGCTGTGTCTGCGAAGACCGACGCCTGTAGCAGCAGGGGTGCCCCACAGCTTGGTGCAGCGGCCGCTTACTGGGGTCAAAGCCAACAGCAACAGCAGCAGCAGCAGCAGTACTACCATGCTATGCAGATGCAGCAACAACAGCAGCAGCAGCAGCAGCTGCAGCAGCAGCAGCAGCAACACCTGCAGCAGACATGGCTACGGGAGGTCCCCTTCGACCACACAGGCACGGCAAGCCGCGGCCCCCCGCACCAGTTGGACCCTCAGTATCAGCAGCAGCAGCAGCAACAGCAGCACCTGCAGCAGCAGCAGCAGCAGCAGCAGCAGCAGCAGCAGCAGCAGCAGCAGAGATTGTGGGAGAGCAGCAGCTCGTCAACCCCTGTGAAGAGACTGGCCTCTTCTCTGAGTGCAGTCCCTCAAGGGTCTCTTTTGTCTGTCTCCAGCGGTCCCACACCTTCGCCCCCGAAGCAGCAGAAGCTAGCAGCAAAACAGCAGCAGCAGCAGCAGCAGCTAGGCGCAGCTCAGGACAGCAGGGGCTGCTCTCAAGCGGAGCGCCAGCAGCAACAGCAGCAGCAGCAGCAGCAGCACGGCCCTTGCAGCAACAGTAGCAGCAACAACCGCACAACCGACAACACCAGCAGCAGCAGCAGCAGCAGCAGCAGCAGCAGCAGCGATGACTGGCTGTCGGATGCTGCTTTCCTGCAGCAGCTGCTGCCGCCCGAGGGCGCCGCGCAGCTTTTCGGAGAGGAGACAGATGAGATAAACTGGGGGCCCATTTCTTAGTCCCTTTTGTGTCTTTAATTTTTTACTTTTGTTTTTATTTTTATTTCCGTTTTATTCCTTCTTTGTTTTTTCGTTTTATTTTCTCTTTTGTCTCCATTCTTTAATGTCTCTTTTAAAATTTTTATTTATCTCTTTATTTTCTTCTTATTTGTCTCTTTTTCTTTTTATTTGTCTTTTTATTTTCTTTTATTTGTCTCTTTATTTGTCTCCTTCGACTCCCTTAAGTAATTCTTTTTGTCTCTTAGTTTTTTCATTTATTTCATTTTCTTTGCTGCCCTCACAAACAAAAACAATAAGGGGCTTTTGGGGGGCCCCCGAGGGTACTTGGGGGCCCCCTAGGGGCCTCTTGAAGGCCCTGGGGGCCCCTAGTGACCCCTTGGGGGGCCCCCAGGGGCCCCCTGGGCCCCCCCGAGGCCCCCAGACCTTACTGCGAGGGGCCCCTAATGCTCTTTAGGGGCCCTGTAGGACCTATGTAGGCATTTAGGGGCCCTTGTTCCAATGTGGGGCCCCCAGAAGTCCCCTAAGGGGACCACAAGGGGCCCCCAAAGGGCCCCAAACGCTACAAGGGGGCCCCCATTTGGTGAAGTAGAGTCTTCTATGCCCAAATGAAGCACTTATGTTTGCTTAGAGGGCCTTAGGGGCCCCCCCATCCCCAAGAAGGGCCCCTGAGGGGCCCTTGGGGGCCCTTTAGGGCCCCCTTGGGGGCCCCCCGGGTCCATCGGGGGCCCCTAGGGACTAACAAGAGCCCCGAAATTCATTGGGGGGCCCCTGGATCGAATTAAGACCCTCTAGGGGCCCTTAAGGGCCCCAAAAGGACCCTCGGGGGGCCCTTTAGGGTATTCTTAGGGGGCCCCCCTGGGGCCCTTGAAGTTGCCCCCGGAGCTCTGGGGACTTCGCTCGTCCGGCGGGGGGCCTTTGAGGGTTCAGCGGCTGGGGGGCCCCCCAGGGTTTAGCTTCTTGAGGGCCCCCGGGATGTTGGGGGCCCCCGGGGGCCCCCGGGATGTTGGGGGCCCCCTGGGGCCCCGGGGGGCCCCTGGGGGACCCAAGAGTACCTTTTTGTGTGTTGCATTTTTTCTTTTTTCGTTTGGAAGACTAAATTTCTGGTGGTGCTCCCTGAAGTCTCCTTTTGTCACCTTTTGTCTCTTTTTGTTTTTTTGCTTTTTATTTTTTTGTTTCTTTTGTTTTCTCCTTTATTTCTTTTTTGTCCCCTTTTGTCTAAATCGTTCTCAACTTCTTGTGCCGTGGGCCCCATGGGGGCCCACATTGAATTGTCCAACTCTGTTCAATTAATTAATTTAATTTAATTAATTAAATCCAATTAATTAATTATTAATTAATTAATCCAGATTAACTCATTAGTTCAAATCAAACATTTAATTCCTATATTGGAAGTCAAATTCCTAATTTAGGGGTGGCCCTCCGGGGGCCCCCCAATTTAATTTTCGCACTTGAAAGTTTTTATTATTTTTAATTATTTATAAATAAATTAATACAAAAGGAGTAGCTTTACGCAACGCTGCGCTGCTGCTGCTGCTGCCGCTGCTGCTGGTCCTGCTGCTGCTGCTGCTGCTGTGCTGTTGCGGCTGGTGCGTGGTGGGGGCCCCATCAACCCCACCACGGAAGGCCACTGGGGCCCCCCAGGTGGGGCCCCCCCCAGCATTTTGTTGTCTTCTAATTGAATATAAAAAGACCTTTAATATTTTTTTAATGAAATAAAAAGGGGCAAGTGGATTGCGGTGTACGTACACCTGAGACGCTCGGAAGGAGACAGAAGCAGCGAGCATGATGCCCGCAGCTGCAGCAGCAGCAGCAGCTGCTGCTGCAGCAGCAGCAGGCGCAGCAGCAGGCGTAGCAGCAGCAACAGCAGCAGCAGTCAAGGCGGCCACGCAGCCACAGCCAGCAGCAGCAGCCACATCAGCAGCAGCAGCAGCAGCAACAAAGGAGACAGAAAGTACCAACGCTGAATGCTTAGAAGGGGGGCCCCCATCCCCCCAAAGGGCCCCCTCAACCCGCCGAAGGTCTGCTGCTGTGGGGGCCCCCCGAGGGGGCCCCCTGAAGACTTCTAAGGCAGCAGAGGGTGCAGCAAAGTGCAGAAAAAAGCAGCAAAAAGAAATATATCCACCAAGAGACACTTCTTGCGAGGCGTGCCTTAAGCTGCAGCAGCAGCTGCAGCAGCAGCAGCAGCAGCAGCAGCAAGCAACAGATGAGAACAGTGCGCAGGGCAACGAAGGGCAAAGGGACGCATGCGAAGCAGCAGCAACAGCAGCATCAGCAGCAGCAGAATCAGCGTCCGCTCCCGCAACAGCAGCAGCAGAAAAAGAAGACTTGCAGAGTCTGCAAGCTCTTGCTGCTGCTGCTGCTGCGCTGCGCTGCTGCGGCTACCACATACACTTGATGAAGCCCTCAGCTTTTGCTGCTGCACTAAAGGCCTGGTTTAGAAAACACAGAAGGAAACTACCCTGGAGGTTTGCTGCTGCTGCTGCTACTGCTGCTGCTGTTATTACTGCTGCTGCTGCGGTTGCTGCTGCTGCTTCTGCCGTTATTGCTGCCGCTGCTGCGGTTGCTTCTGCTGCTGCTGCTGCTGCGGTTGCTGCTGCTGCTGCAGCTGCTGCGGTTGCTGCGGTTAATGCTGCTGTTACTGCTGCTGTTGCTGCTGCTGCTGTTGCTGCACCAGTTTGGGCTTGTTAACTGCTGCTGCTGCTGCTCTTGCTGCTGCTGCAGAGGAGACCCTCCGCCATACACTTGTTGGAAGGAGACACGCAAAGACACGATGGATGCCTCAGCTGCTGCTGCTGATGCTGCTGATTCTCCTGCTGCGGCTGCTGCTGCTTCACAGACTGGCAAGAGGAAGAGACAGCAGCAGCAGCAGCAGCAGCAACAGCAGCAACGCTCAATAGTGTCTTTCTTTAAGCCCGTACCTTCTGGAAAACGACGCCAGCCCAGCAGCAGCAGCAGCAGCAGCAGCAGCAGCCGAAAGGAGGAGGTTGTGGTGGTGTCTGAGGACGAGCAGGAAGATATGGAAGCAGTAGAGACAGCAGAAGCAGCAGCAGCAGCAGCAGCAGCAGCAGGGGATATGAAAGCAACAGCCGCAACAGCTAAAGAAACAGATGCAGCAGTTGCTGCAGCAACAACAACAGCAGCAGCCAAAAGGGAAGCAACAGCAGCAGCAGGAACAACTGCAGTAGCAGCAGCAGTAGGAGCAGATGTAGCAGCAACAGCAGCAGCAGGAAAAGACGCAGCAGCAGCAGCAACAATCAAGATGGAAGTAACAGCAGCGGCAGCAGGGGCAGACGCAGCAGCAGCAACAGCATCACCCAAGACGGAAGCAGCAGCAGCAGCAGCAGCAACAGCAGGAGCAGATGCAGCAGCAGCAACAGCATCACCCAAGACGGAAGGAACAGCAGCAGCAGCGGCAGCGGGAACAGACGTAGCAGCAGCGTCAGCCAAGACGGAAGCAGCAGCAGCAGGAACAGCAGCAGGAACAGATGCGGCAGCAGCAGCAGCAGCAGGAACAGATGCAGCAGCAGCAGCAGCACCAGCACCGCCGCGCAGCGCGTACGGGATTTGGATAAGCGAAGTGATGCTGCAGCAGACACAAGTGGCAGCAGCAGTTTCTTACTGGCTGAAGTGGCAAGTTTTGTTTTTTAATTTTTAGTTTAATTTAATTTAATTTAATCTAATCTAATTTAATTTAATTCAATTTAATTTAATTTAATTTAATTGTCTCCTTTTAATGCAACTGTCTCCTTTTAATTCCTTTAATTCTTTTATTTATTTATTTATTTTTATTTATTTATTTATACTTATTTATTTATTTATTTTTTATTTTTATTTTTTATTTTTTATTTCCTGCAGGATGGCTCGCTGGCCTTCTGTGTCTTCTCTTGCTGCTGCTTCTCTTGAAGACATTTTTAAAGTCTGGGCAGGCCTGGGCTATTACAGGAGGCAAGTTTGCTGCTGCTGCTGCTGCTCTTGCTGCTGCTGCTGCCGGTGCTGCTCTTGTCGCTGCTGCTGGTGCTGCTCTTGCTGGTGCTGCTCTTGCTGCTGGTGCTGCTCTTGCTGCTGCTGCCGCTGATTGTGCTGCTGCCGCTGCTTTTTCTGTGGCTGCTTGTGCTGCTCTTGCTGCTGCTGCTGCTGCTGCTGTGGCTGCTGCTGATATTCATGCTGCTGCTAATCTCGCTGTTGTTCTTGGTCGTGGTGGCGGTGGCGGTGCTGCTGCTGTTCCTATTGCAGTAGCTGTTGCTGCTGCTGCTGCAGCTGCTGTCCCTTCACTTCATGTTGCTGCTGCTGTTGCTGTGGTTGCTGCTGCTGCTGCTGCCGCTGTTGCACTTATCGTTGTTAGCTGCTACTACTATTTTTGCTGCCACTGCTGCCGCTGCTTCTGCTGTTGCTGCTGCTGCAGCTGCTTGCTTTGCAGCAGCAGCAAGCCTGTCCAATCCATGCTTTCCTGTTGCTGCTGCTGCTGCTGCAGGGCTGTGCTGCTTCTAGAAGGAGCCAAATATCTTATGAAGAAGCACGGAGGAGAGGTGAGCTTTATTGCTGTTGCAGCCGTTGCTGCTGTTGCTGCTATTGCTGCTGCTGCTGCTGCTGCTGCTGCTGCTGCTGCTTCGCTCCTTCTCCCGCTCTTTCTCCTGCAGCATCCCGCCTCGCCGCTGCTGCTGCTGCCGCTGCTGCTGCTGCTGCTGCAGCTGCCAGCTTCTGTCGCTTTGCTGCAGTCAACTCCAGGAATAGGCCCCTACACAGGGGGGGCCATTGGGGCCCTCGCTTTTGGGCTGAGGGCCCCCGCAGTTGACGGGAACGTCGCCAGAGTCTTCTGCAGGGTTTTCGGTGAGGGTTTAGGGTTAAGGGTTTAGGGTTTAGGGTTTCGGCTTTAGGGGTTGGGGTTTGGGGTTTAGGGTCTGGGGTTTAGGGTTTGGGGTGAGACGGTGTTGACAAGGTCTTCTTCAGGGTCTTCGTGAGAGGTTTGGGGTTTGAGGTTTAGGGTTTAGGGTTTGGTGTTGGGGGTTTAGGGTTTGGGGCTTAGGATTTGGGGTTTAGGGTTTGGGGTTTAGGGTTTAGGGTTTAGGCAGAGACGAAGTCGCCAAGGTCTTCCGTAGGGTCTTCGTGAGGGTTTAGGGTTTAGGGTTTAGTGAGGCGAAGAGGATCTGCTGCTTCGTGTCTTTTAATTTATTTTATTTTCTTTTGTCTCCTTTCGTCTCCTTTTTGTTTTTAATTTCTTTTTCTCCTTTTGTCTCTTTTTGTGTCTTGAAGGCCTCGCCACTCCATCTGACCCGCGCACTCAGCAGCAAGTAATCCCGTACGCCCGAGGGTTTAGGGTTTAGGGTTTGGGGTTTAGGGTTGAGGGTTTAGGGTTTGGGGTTTAGGGTTTAGGGTTTGGGCTGCCAGGCTTGAACGCCCCGTGCAAGGTCTCCAGCGAGAAGTTTAGTGTACATAACTCGGGTGTAGGGACTGCTTTCAAGGGTTTAGGGTTTAGGGTTTAGGGTTTAGGGTTTGTGCGCAGCAAACTAATAGAGCCGCTGCTGCCGCAGCAAGAGTGTGGGATCTGGGCCGAAGCAGCAATTGAGTTGGGGGCCACCGTTTGCCTGCCTAGGGCCCCAGCTTGCTGCGCCTGCCCCAGTCAGCTGCTGCTGCTGCTGCTGCTGAGCTGCTGCTGCTGCTGCTGCTGCTGAGCTGCTGCTGCTGCTGTCTAGCTGCTACTGCTGCTGGTGGCAATTAGGTGCTGTTGCTGCCGATTGGCTGCTGCGGCTGAGCAGCAGCTGCTGCTGCTGCTGCTGAGCAGCTGCAGCTGCTGAGCATCTGGTGCTATTTAGCTACTGCTACTGCTGCTGCTCCTTTTGCTTAGCTGCTCTTTCTGTTTGGATGATGCTGTTCAGCTGCTGCTGCTGCTGCTGCTGCTGCTGCAGTCCGCTCGTGGTGCATCGCAGCAGCAGAAGAAGAGGGCCGAGCAGCTCGGAAAGGCCACTGCTGCAGCTGCGGGATCTGCACTGAACAAGAAGCCTCTGATGTGGGCCTTGCTGCTGCTGCTGCTGCTTTTGCTGCTGCTGCTCCATTTGCTGCAGTTGCTGCTGCTGTTGTTGCTTTCGCTGCTTCTGGCCTTTTGCTGCTGCTGCAGCTGCGGCTCTTGTTGCTGCTGCTCCTTCTGGCGCCGTTGCTGCTGCTGCTGCTGCTCTTGTTGCTTTTGTTATTTTTGCTGCTGTTGCTGCATCTGCTGCTGCTGCTCCTTTTGCTGCTGTTTTTGCTGTTGCTGTTGGACTTTGCGCCTTTCTGCCTTGGCCACCATCGCTGCTGTTACCTCCCGCTTGTGCTGCTGCTGCTGCTGCTGCTGCAGGCCTGCGGCATTCCCGGCAAGTACCCTCTCCGGGTTTCCAAAAAGAGCAGCAAGAAGCAGCAAGTCGAGGTCCTCTCTTTATTCATTTTGTCAGGGGGCCCCCCGCTAGGGGCCCCCCACCCGTTTGGGGGCCCCCCTGCCGGGGGGCTCCCCAGAACTGGGGGGCCCCCCAAGAAGAACTGCTGTCCCTCGGGGGGGCCCCCCATGAGGGTACTGCTGGAGATGAGAGCTGAAGAAGGGCTGCTGGCGCGTCAGTGGGGCCCCTTGACAATTACTTTTGCTGCTGCTGCTGCTGCTGCTAATAAAAAGGAAAACAAGGAGCAGCAGCAAATTGCTTTTGCTGCTGCTGATGTTAAGAAGAAAAACGGGGAGCAGCAGCAAATCCGAAGGGCCAAGGAGACCCTCGCCAAGGCAAGACCCAAACTGCACGCAGCAGCAGCAGCAGCAGCAGCTGCTGCTGCTGCTGCTGCTGCCGCCGCCGCTGCAGTTGTAGCAGCCGCACACGTGACGCAGTTTAAAGACCCAACACGGCATGCAGTTGCAGCAGCAACAGCAGCAGGAGCACCAGCTGCTGCTGCTGTTGCAGCAGGAACTGCCACTGCTGCTAGTGCTGCTGCTGCTTTGGTTTTTGCTGCAGCAATGGGGCGAGCTGCTGAACACTGAAGGCGACGCGAAAGACTCAATCCACTACGTGAATTCCAAACCCTAAACCCTAAACCCTAAACCCTCAACTGTGAAGAAACCCTAGAGCTTTTCGCTCACTCCAGCAACTTTAGAATTAATTTAAATAAATTAGTTAAAAATAAAAAACAAAAGTGCATCTATCTGCAAGTGCAGCTAGCTGCAGTTGAGGTGTACATACAGCTCAGGTGTACATACAGCTCTGGTGTACATACAACTCGGGTGTATCTGCAGCTCGGGTGTATATACAGCTCGGGTGTATCTGCAGCTCGGCAGCGTCACGCACCAGTTCAGCCACCAGTCTCACAGCGTCTACGTGTTCTACGCGCAGCAGCAGCAGCAGCAGCAGCAGCAGCAGCAGCAAGAGCAGCAGCAGCAGCAGCAGCAGCAGCAAGGGCGGCAGTGGGCGACTCTTTCTGAAGCTGAGGTGAGTGTCTCCTTGAGGTGTACATACACCGCAGCAGCCATTTGGTTTTCAGAAGATCCACACATGCAATCTATATTTTTATTTTTACAAAAAACAAAATAATGCATTTAAATGCATTTAAATGGATACGTGTCTCTCCTTAATTGTCTCTTTTTAATTACTTTCATCTGATTGTCTCCTTTACTTTCATTTAGTTGTCTCTTTAAATGTCTCCCCTTAAAATTACTTTCATTTAGTTGTCTCTTTTTAAATGTCTCTTTCTAAGTTAATTTAATTCAATTGTCTCTTTTTAAGTGTCTCTTTTTAATTATCTCTGACTCAGCGCTTCGTGTTAAACAAACCCCTTGCTGAATTTCTGTTTCATTCTACTACCAAACTAAAATAAACAAATAAATAAATAAAATGTATGTAAATAAATAAATAGGAACAAATAATAAATAAGTGAACAAATATAAACAAATAAATGAATAAATAAATATAAATAAGTTTTTAGTTTGCTGCACTTTGTCTCCTAGGCCCTTTGCACCTGCACCTACTTTACGAAGCAGCTGCAGCTGCTGCTGCTGCTGCTGTCGGGGCAGCAGCAGCAAAAAGGCCCGTGCAGCAGCAGCGTCAAACGACACTAGTTGTGTCGAGAAGCAAATAACTAATTAGAAACGAATAATCCATCTTAATTCAACCAAATGCATTAAATAAATAAACTCGTTTTTCAAATCTACAGAAATTTATAAAGGACCCGCTTCCTTGGGGTGTACGTACACCTCAAAAGCCCAGCCGGGGGATCGGCCCCCCAACCTCCTGCGGTGTCTGTACACCCCAAAAGCTGCAGCAGCAGGGACACTGGCTGCTGCTGCAGCAGCTGCTGCTGCAGCAACTCCAGCTCCAGCCGTTTCAACTGCAGCAGCAAACGGCTGCAGCAGCAACTGCTGCTGCCGCCTCTCCCACTGCCGCACCAGCTGCCGCAGCAGCAGCAGCTGCTGCTGCCGCTTCAACTGCCGCACCACCAGCAGCAGCAGCGGCAGCAGCAGCAGCTGCTGCTGCTGCCACTCCGCGCATGCAGCTGCTGCTTTGGGGCTGGATTTATGGGGCCCGCGCCAGTGCGAACAGGGGCCCCCTTTTAAACAAAAGGAGAAAAGGAAAACGCAAAAAGTGCAAATATTGACCTGCATTAAAATAAATAAATTCCGCAATTTATTCCAAACACTTAAACTCATTCTTATTTATTAATTCGCCTTCAGAAGAGCCGAATGGAGCCAGAAGAAGCCTCAGCAGCAGCAGCAGCAGCAGCTCCTGCTGCTGCTGCAGCTGTAGCTCTGCTGCTGCCGGCGCAGCTGCTGCTGCTGCTGCTGCTGCTGCTGCGGGAGTCTCTTTCTGGCTTCTCTTCCGACAAAGAACTAGACAACGAACAAAGTGGAAAAGGCCTTATTGAATTTAAATAAACTTCCGCAAATAATAATTCATTCAACAGCAGCAAAGAGAGAGAGACAGCCCAACAAGTGCCATTTGTGTCTCCTTCGTCTCCTTTGTCTTCCAAATGAAGCACCCCGTGCTGCCAAACCTAGCGGCTGCTGCTGCTGCTGCTGCTGCAGCGGGCTGCTGCTGCCGGCTTATTCCGCCGTTGCAGCTGCAGCTTCCCCCCGCCGCCGCCGCCGCCGCCGCCGCTGCTGCTGCTGCTGCTGCTGCTGCAGTCTCCTCAAGGCAGCAAGTACTGCATCCAGCTGTCCTCTTCGGGGAAGAACTCGCGGATGGTCCAGCGGTAAACCTCCTTGGGGTCTCCTTCGAAGTGGCTGCTGCTGTGGGGCCCCACAGGGGCCCCCAAGCTGCGCAGCAGCCTCAAGTAAAAGACCTCTTGGGCCCTCAAAAGGGTTTGCACGGGGGGCCCCAACTCTTCTTTAGAATTAAGTCCCACTTCGAGATGATAAAGGAGCCAGTCTGCTGCTGCTTCGAGTCTGAGCTGCGCGGCCTGTTTGACTTCCTCCATGATTTCCGCGGTTTGCTGCTGCTGCTGCAGCAGCTGCTGCTGCCGCTGCAGCAGCTGCTGCTGCCGCTGCAGCAGCTGCTGCTCCCGCTCCTCCCGCCGCAGCTCCGCGGCCTCCGGCTGCTGCTGCTGCTGCTCCTGCTCCTGCTCCTGCTGCGGCCGCTCGCCCGCGGCCTCGGCGCTGCCGGCGCCGCCGGCGGCCTCGCTGCTGCTGCTGCTGCTGCTGCTGCTGCTGCTGGAAAGAGACAGCTCCTTGAGCCTGTCGAGAGCAGCAACTTCGTGGCTGTGCAGCAGCGCCTGGTGCATGCGGAAGAGGGCCCAGTCCCGCTGTCTCCTTTCTCTGTCGGACTTGGGGCTTTCTTGAAAGGCCTCGGGATCATTTGTCTCCAAATAAAAAGAATAAAAAGCGACAAGAGCTTCTTCTTGGCCCCCCAGGAAGCCCCGCTGCTGGCTGCGGGCCACGAACTGCTGCAGCGAAGCAGCAGCAAACTCTTGCCTGAAGGCCTCGCAGAGGGGCCCCTGCGGAGACAGAAACAGCGGGAAGAACGAGGGAGCAGCAGCAGCACGTCCTGCTGCTGCTGCTGCTGCTGCTGTGGGGTGCACCGCGCCCTCTTCCGCCTGCAGCGCCGGCGGCGCCGCCCCGAGCGCTTCTCGCGCTGCTGCTGCTGCTGCTGCTGCTGTCAGCGCGTCCCCCGCTGCTGCTGCGTCACCTCCTGCTGCTGCTGCTGCTGCTGTGGGGCGGGGCTCCTCATCGTCGGACAAGTACGGGAAGTGCGTGTAGCCGCCATAGTTCTCTCGTGCTGCTGCTGCTGCTGCTGCTGCCGTCGGAGCTGCTGCTGCTCCACTCGGCCAACCGGGGTCCTCCCCCGCTGCTGCTGCGTCACCTCCTGCTGCTGCTGCTGCTGCAGTGGGGTGCGTGCTTTCCTCGCTAAGAGTGAAGTACATAGGCGGAGACTCCGAATCCTCAAGAGCTGCTGCTGCTGCTGCTGTCAGCGCTGAATCCTCGTCGCCGGCCTCTGCTGTTGCTGCTGCTGCTTCTGCTGCTGCTACTGCTGCTGTGGGGTGTACATCGTCGTCAAGCCAGAAAGAGAATGGCAACGAGCCGGCCGCCTCGCGAGCTGCTGCTGCTGCTGCTGCTGCTGTCAAGGCGGCCTCCTCGTCTCCTGCTGCTGCTGCTGCTTCTTCTGCTGCTCTTTGTGCTGCTGCTGCTTCTGCAGCAGTGAGGTGTCTCTCCTCCTCGTCAAAGAGATAAGGGAAGACCCCGGAGCCAAACTCCTCGCGAGCTGCTGCTGCTGCTGCTGCTGCTGTCAGAGCGCCCTTATCTGCTGCTGCTGCTGCAGCAGGGGCCCCCTGCCGCCGGCGAATCCCTGCCACTAGAGCCCCAAAAAATAATCCAAGTGCAGCAAGAGCCAACAGGGGGCCCCCTACGTGGCTCCTGAGGGGGGCCCTCCTGGGGGCCCCCCGGGGGCCCCTCTCGAACAAGAATCCCTCCACGCCGTTTTTCAGGGACCCCTCCAGAGGGGACAACAGGGGCCCCCGGGGGCCCCCCTGGGGGGCCCCCAGGGGGCCCCCATGATCCTCTGTGGCCACCAGGGGCTCCCCGTAAGGAGCCAGCAAAGGGCCCCCGTGGGCTGGGTCTTGGGGTGTACGTACACCTGAAGAGCCCGAGCTGCTGCCCCGGGGCTCGAGGCTGCTGCTGCTGGAAGCTGGAGAAGACATGCGGCCCATTTTAGGGTATTAAAAGAGAAAAGAAGTGAAAACGCCGCGAAAAACCCGCGGAAACCCTAAACCCTAGACCCTAAACCCTCGCCGAGCCGACGGAGGAATGCTTCGGGCCAAAGAACGGACCAGGGCACGTCTAGGGGAACAGAAAAAGTTGTTTGCCAATTAATAGTTCCAAATTGTGAATAATGGCTGCCACAAGCAGCGAATTAGGGTTTTAGGGTTTGGGAATTAGGGTTTAGGGTTTGGCGGTTCGAGGCTGGTCCGGCCTCAAAGCAGAAGACCGAGACAGCAAGCAGAGAGAAGGCTGGGAGTCTATGGCTTGCAATTAAACGTAAGACTTAAATTAGGGTTTAGGGTTTGATGCTCGCGATGAATCTTGAAAAAGC